ACTACTTGTGTTTGAAATGTTAAATAGTTCATGCTAATACTCCATAAACTCTAGATTTACAAGCCTCATGAGGCTAGAGTAAATCTATCCTTTGGGAAGTTTCAAGTATCATGGTTATGTGTTGAAGATGAAACAAGTTCACAACTAAAATGGGGCTTAATATATGTTAAAAATCATAAAGTATATGTTAATAACATCTTTGTGTTATAAAAAGTTTTGTGGATATGTTTATTCATCCAAAATGGTGAAAATATGGGTTTTACACTAAAAAATGGTTAACTTTTGGACATATGCATTTTTAACACCTATACTTACACTAATAATGGAATATAATAAATTTCAAGATTTCTATATGTATTTTTGTAAAAATCGTGACATGCTAGAGTCACACCAAAATAGTATATTTTGTGTTACAAAACCCCTAAACTAAATTTTGGTGTGTTAAACAAGCTACAAATCTTGATTATTTTACTAAAAATACTTTTAACTAATAACATAGTCGTAATATGTTGTCACCATTTTAATAGTTTGAAAACTTAGAGGATTATGCTATTTACACAATTACAAGTAGACAAGGCCATTAACGATTATTTATAAAAAGTGTTATAAATAATTTAACTAAAACGGTATACAAAACATAATTATTACGACAGAGAAAAACTCATGTCATAAAACTGCAATCATGAATTTACACTAGTAATGTTATTTTCATTATTCAATAATAGGAGTCAAAGTTTGCGTAAATCTGTTAAGTCACTTGTGAGACTTTCCCTCGCCGTACCTACCTAGCGTGCATCGTAAGTCTTGTAGTTATAACTAGAGCCTCCTGGAGGGAGAGCGAGGTAATTGTGTATAGATCTATACGGGGTTGACAGCCCCCACACCTGAGCTGTTCGCTACAGCTAGACGAGGCCAGTCTAGGGTGAAAAATATCTTACCGAAACCGACGCTTGAAGAACATCATGACATACATTTTAGTCGTATCAAGCATGGTTGTAACGACTCACATAGGGATTAACTAATGTTATTTTGGATTTACGAAATTATACACTTCACTAGTTTTATAAAATATAAAACTATGCTTCACTTTTGTACCTTACTATCACCACTCCAGTCTTAGGGTTTTAAGACTACAACTTTTCATAAAATAGGAAATATGAGATTTTCTGGGAACACACACTCTTTTTAATTACAAACAAAAGAAAACAAAGGACACACATGCGATTATTCACAGTTTTAGAACGAGACTTACAAACCATTTTTCATAGAAAATATCGGATTTTCTGGAGCTTTACAAATGATTACAATCAAAGATGTTACAAAACTTTTTATACAAATATGCTTATGAACTCACCAACTTTTTAGTTGATGCTTTTCAAAACGACTTGTATTCTCATGGACTCGGTGAGCAGGTATTTGGGCTATGGATTTTGGATATTTGCTTACATTTTGGAGTATCATATTTTATGTCACTTTTGTGTAAATTTGTGAACATATACAATCGGTAAACAATGTATGTTGGTATCTTTTAATGTATGATGTTGGTCGTTGTGTTTCATTCATATTCAATTGTTATGATATTATAAAATGACGTCATCCGCCCCCGGACGTTTTCGCCGTCCTGGTTCGGGAGTGTGACACACACGGTAACAGATACATATACAAACAAATCGATAAAAAGAGCAGTGAAAGGAAGATGAAGATGAATACATTGAATAATCATAACAAAAACTTTTAATAGCATACCTAAAATAATAAGAGATACATATACACACAAACATGTACATATACACACGGTAACAGATAAATATACAAACAAATCGCTAAAAAGAGCAGTGAAAGGAAGATGAAGATGAATACATTGAATTAATCATATCAAAAAGTTTTAATAGCATACCTAAAAGAATAACAGACGACGACTTCAATATTTGATACTATGTTCTCTTTTTCTCTGAAATTTGGATTTGATGTGAATGAAACTAACCGTGATAATGTATTTAAAAAAATAGATTAGGTAAGTTATGCTATTTAAGGATTTGATAAGCATGACATATTTGAAAGATTTAATTATCGTTTAAAATTAAATAATGATTATTTACTTTCCATTTTTTTTAATGTTGCAGGAAATTGAGTAATTGACGTGCAAAAATAAAGCAATCCATGTGTACAACGAAGGGCAATAGCGGAAATTCATTTTATGAAAAAGAGTGGGAAAATTCGATTGGGGGTTGGGGGGTGCTATTTGAATGCTACATGTACAATTCATACTTATTTAGTAGATTAGAGGATTATTGCCATTTAATTTAAATGATAAAAACAGAATATTGAATTTAGAAGGAAAGTAAGTCAATTGATGCAATTGAAATCCATTTATTAGATAAAGAAAGACAAGTTCATTTGACCTATAAATACAATATGAAATTAAAAAAATGAAAAAAAAACTACAATGCAATGTGGTAAAATTTGTTTGAAAATAACAAGAAAATGACACGTTAGTGAAAATCAATGAGAATGTTACATATGGTAAAATTGATTTTCATTTATTAGTATAGATTAATGTATAAGTTTGATTATTTGGAATAAAAAACAAGACATTGTGGTTATGAAAGAAGGGAATTTGGATGGTAGGTATGCTAGTGATTAAGGGGTGTTTAGGATTTCTTCTTTACTTTAAAACTGTTTTTGAACAAAAAAACATTTATTGAGTTATAGTGGTAACGAAATGAGTTTTGTAAAAAAAATGTTTTGATTATATTTGATAGGTGGCAAAAACCAATAAGTTAATAAATAAAAAATTGTTTTACTTAATATCTTTGTCTTGAAGCTATTATAGTTAAAAAAAACAAAAAAGAAAAAAAAAGATAGTGTAAAAAAACCAGATTTTACATAATTTTTAAAATTTCTTTTGGAGGTAATAAAAAAGCTGTTTTGAAAAATGTTTTTAAGTTTGTTAAATATTTTTTAGACAAAACTGCACGAACCGTCCCTGTGGTTAGCTGAAAATTACCACTTTGGTCCAAAAAAGTTTGGACTAGCACCAGAGGTCCAAACTTTTCATTTGTTGCGAGTTTGGTCCGATTTTGTTTGAACTTTTTTATAAAGACGATTTTACCCCTGATTATTTAATATTTTATTTTTCTTTTATTACAACAATTAAAAAGAATTAAAAATAAAAAAAAAAAGAAAATAATCTCTCTCTCACTCTCTCGCGTAGGAAAGCACCATAGATCTGTACAAAAACGTTAATGTCCATGTGACCTCTCCTAATACCCCCAACCCCAAATTTAAGAAGCCCAAGAAAAGTAGAAAAGAACGATCGATCATTCGATCTTCAAGCTTTCTGCTCCAGGAATCGAAGTTCCAGTCGTTGCAGATCTGAGAATCAAGTTCTCCTCAATGGCGGTGGTGAAGAAGATGAAGCGATCGTGATGACCGATCGTGAATGAAATCAAACATTAGCCTCTGATTGATGACTGATCGTGAAGAAGATGAAGCGCCTCCGGCGCATGACGGGACCGGAGAAAATGAAGAATCGTAAGAAATCTTAAGTAACATTTCGATTGAGGGGTGTGGTTCGACGGTGGATGGCGATTCGCGAGGGGAAGAGAAGAAGGCTCGCAGGCGGCTAATCCCGGTGCTCCTGGGTCGATTAATAGCGACGAGGGAGATCGTCGGTGGGTGTAACGTGGTCGTCGACCATGGAACAGGTGAGGGAACGAGATGGGTAGGGCAGTAGTGAGGGTCGATTTCCTGCGAAAGCTTTGTTTCCGGAGATCGATGAGGGAACGGGATGGGTAGGAGAGAAGCAACATCGGCGCATGTGGTGTGTTTGGTAGTGGAGCTCGACGGGAAGAAGTGCACGTGCGATGGGGGGGGGGGGGGGTGTTTGGCGTTGTTGTTTCCTCGACAATCACAGGTTTCCTTTCATCTCTCTTCTTTTTATTTCGACTGTAAATCCATGGGGTTTAGTCAATAGATTTAGGTTAAGATGAGTGTTTGTTGATTGATTCTTGACTGAAATGGATAAATGGAATGCATGAGCGAGGTTAATCTTTTACAGGAAATCGATGGGTGTATGTTTGTTTTTCTTGACAGAATCGATGGGGTGTAAATCACTAGGTTTAGTTTTGTGTTTTGGTTACTTGAAATTGCCATGGAAAGAAGATGAAACAATAACAAGGAGTGGTTGTATTTCTCATTTGCAGGTATACATGAAAAGAACAAGAATGCTCTTGTGTTCTTGGCTGGGAACGAATGCAGAAGGGAAGAACAAGGATATGTGTTGACTGTATTGGTTTATGAGAGAGAGACACAGAGAGAGTATTTTCTTTTTTCTTTTATTTTTAATTCTTTTTAATTGTTGTAATAAAAGAAAATTAAAATATTAAATAATCAGGGGCAAAATTGTCTTTATGAAAAAGTTCAAACAAAATCGGACCAAACTCGCAACAAAATGAAAAGTTTGGACCTCTGGTGCTAGTCCAAACTTTTTTGGACCAAAGTGACAATTTTCAGCTAACCATAGGACCATTTGTGCAGTTTTGTCTATTTTTTACTTATTGGCTTTTTAAAAAAACCAATAAACCAATAAATTGTTTTTGAGTTAACAAATAGGTTTTTTGTGTGTATATATTATGAGTAAAGTACAAAAACGATACTCGTGGTATATTTCATTCTTTACTTTTTCATCCAAAGGTAAATTAGTCATTTAAAAACAGTAAAATGTTTAGGAATTAGGAGCAAATATACAAGGTTTAAAAAGCATAAGGACCAGTGGTGTAGTGCTGTCTAACATTATCATTAAGTTGTCACTTTTTCATAACCAGAAGGACTATTCGTGAAAAATTGTCTAAATTCATTGAAAGATGACATTTATGAATTTGTTTGGTATATACGATTGCGAAAGGCTGGAAGATAGGAGGAAATGTCTTCTCATCTCCACGAAAAAGGACATTTTGCAACTTGTAAGTCCGCTCTTTCATCATTTTTTGACCATAATCATGTCATTTGCTACCGACGGTGGCAGGGAACCTGAACCTTCTACCTCCGCCCCTGCTTCCGCCTCCACCTTTACCTCCATCTCCACCTCCGTTGAATGGTCACAACCATGCCGTAACTTCGAATTTCCTGAAATTCTATTAGCAACAGAAAACTTTGACGAATCATTAGTAATTGGGCGTGGGGGTTTTGGGAAAGTTTACAGAGGTAAAATTATCAATGGATCAAGTGTTGTCGTTGCTGCCATTAAACGATTGGATTCCATGTCCAATCAAGGCGCAGCAGAATTCTGGGCAGAAGTCGATATGCTATCCAAATTGCGTCACTGTCACCTTGGCTCTTTGATTGGTTACTGTAATCATGGGAAAGAGATGATCCTTGTGTACGAATATATGCCTCATGGAAATCTCGAAGATCATCTCCACAAACTTTCTACTCCTCTTTCATGGGTTCAGCGACTGAAGATCTGCATAGGTGCAGCTCGTGGGTTGGACTACCTCCACACTGGTACAGGTATTGGGTTGGGTGTTATACATCGCGATGTCAAGAGCTCAAATATATTGTTACATGAGACATGGGCAGCTAAAATTTCGGATTTCGGGTTGTCTAGAATCGGTCCAACTAATCAGACATCTACTTACGTGAACACTCTTGTTAAAGGAACTTTTGGGTATCTTGATCCCAACTATTTTACAACCGGAAGGCTTACCAGGAAGTCTGATGTGTATTCTTTTGGAGTGGTATTGTTGGAGGTTCTGTGTAGGAAACGTGCAGTGGATAAAAGTCTTGATGAGGAGCAATGGGGTTTAGTGGGATGGGCTCAAGAGTATATCAAAGAGGGAAAGTTGAAGCATATAGTTGATTCTGATATAAAGGATCAAATATCCACAAAATGTTTGAAGGAGTTTGTTCGAATTACAGAGAGATGTTTGGTCTGTAATCCAAAGCAGCGACTTATGATGACTGAGGTTGTGTTCAGTCTTGATTTTGTTCTCACCTTACAAGAGAAAACCAATAGTTCTTTACAGGCTGGCAGGCAAAACAATATTCAGTAGAATGGTTAATATGCTTCTGTTTCCATCCGGTGGGGAGAACTCTGGTATTTCAAGCTCCTCATGAAACTGTATCCACAAAGTCTTTATATATAATTTAAACATGTTTTTATGAATCTATTTCAGCGCATAGTGATCCAAACCTATCAAGTAATAACAATGGTGATATGTTTTCGGACACCGCAGAAGTTCCTATAGATTTCAGAGTTCCTAATTCAAGTTTGAAAGTATTCAAGTTTTCTGATTTAAAAAAAGCTACAAGCAACTTTAGTCATCATTTTGTATTGGGCCAGGGAGCTTTTGGAACGGTGTTCTTAGGTTGGATTGACAAGAAAACATTTGTTGCTTCAAGAAATGGTGTTGGCATTCCTGTTGCTGTTAAAAGGCGCAGGTCATCAAGCATTCACGGACATTCTGAATGGCTAGTAAGTATCAATAACTGCACATAAACTTATATCTATAATCAAGACAACGAATTTAGATTTTCATGGGAAAATTTCGGAATCTAAGCCTATTTCTCCTTTCACATTAATTCTGCGCACATTTTATCAAGCACCAGCTGGTGTCTAACATGATAGCTACTGACCAGTGCTTGGAGTACGGGAATTCTCACTGGTCAGTGTCATCATCATATTACAAATGGATTGGAAATTTGGAATGTATGTATGATATGATCAAAATTAGTGGTGTATCAAATCTCTTGCAATGTCTACAATAATGTTCAAACAACAAGAGCTTGTATCATTATTTTCTCGTTAATTTGGTTTAAGGATAAAGTATTTCAATGATTCTAGAGGTACAGTTTTGGAATTCTTTTTATCTGATTATAAAAGTAAATAAACTACTTCTGTAGACAGTTTTGATGGAGTTTCAGGGTAAATTATCTCCGTGATTTATTTCTAATAGTAACACAGTGTTCTGGAGTATGGAGAGAAAAGAAATGAAAAGAAAGGTTAAACTCTCTTTTTGCACGTTTTTGAGACCTAACAATTTTTCAATCATACGCTTCATATTTAATAGATTGTAGTTTAGATGAGGCTTAGTTTGGTAGTTAGAAAAGGTTATAAAAAATTCACTTTCCTTTCTCTTCAATTCATTCCACATTTGGGAGGAAGTTTTGAAGCTCAGTTCCTTCTCCTTCTCTCCAATAATACTCCAGAATACTACTTTTTTTATTTTTTATTTATTTTTACTTTTCTCCTGTTTCATTCCATATGATTTCTTTTTGCTCCTAAAGACCAACTCTAGATCATATAAGAAAAGGAAATAATACCACTTCAGTTATTCTAAATAAACTGATTATGTTCTTTGGATAGATACTAAAAATAGCAGGAGGCTTTCACTTTATTTGTGTACTAGTTGTGAGACCTGTATGTTATAAAACAAAAAATTAAATATGAAGGTTAAACAAGAATTCATTTAAATATGAAATTTTAGATTTGAAATTTAAATTTGAAATTTAAATTTAAAAGGAAACATATTAAATACTATATGAGTAGTAATATTGTAATATATTGGTTATTTTCAATTAAGACAATTATTAATTGAGGTGTAAATATGATGTGTTAATTAAGAAAAGATAAAAATACCAAAAAATGACAAATGGAAAAAACATTTATTCAAAAATACCAAAAAATGACATGTGTTAAGTTAAAAAGAGAGTGACATGTGGCAAAATTATTTTCATTTATTAGGGAGGATCTAACATCTTACTTTCATTTCTTCCTATCAAAATATTGTACTTTGAAAACTCTACCAATTATTGTAATTTCATCCAAATAGCAAGGTTATAAAAATCGCTCGACGGTAGCTCGGCGGTCGACTGGCAATAAATGATTAATCGGACTAGGCGGGGATTAATCTGAGATTAATCGGGGACCCTAAATTATTAATAAAATTATTTAAAAATTAATATTTCCTAAAAAAATGAAGTATTTGGAAATTCAAAATTTCAAAAATTTGAAAATTTGAAAATTTTAGTATAATATTTTATAATTTGAAAACTTAAAAATTTGAAAATTTAAAATTTTGGTCTAATATAAGAAAAATAAAAATTTTGAATTTTTAAAAAATTTTCCGCCTATAACCGCCGAGACCGCTAAGGGCCGCCAAGAACCGCCAAACCCGAGTTTGACCGATTTTGACCAATTTCCGCCAAACACCCTAATCGTAATCGGTTCAAGGCCGCCAAGCGATTAATCGGCCGCTAATGCCGATTTCTGCAACACTGCCAAATAGAAAGAATTTTTCATTGCTATAATTGGGTAGATTTTCAAAGTATATAATGGAAAGAAAATCAAAGTAGAATGGTATAATGCACAGATAAATGGAAGTTTGTAGATATTTCTTGCATTTAGCCCTTATTTTCATTATCTGTGTACTATTTTGTGAATGCAAACGAGTCTGTTTTCTCATAGAACATTACTAGAAATTTCCGTTTGTAAAATCTCTTTGTTGAACATAACTAAATTATGTTTTGATTTCAGTCAGAGATACGCTTTTTACGATGCTTGGCTCATTCCAATATTATTAGTCTCTTGGGGTACTGCGATGATGAACTACAATACTTCCTTGTTTATGAGTACATGCAAAACCGAAGTTTGGATCGCTTTTTGTACAGAAGTAACCTATACTTGAATATCTCTAAAACTGAATTTTTTATTTTTACTCTAAAGTTGAATTATTTCAATTAATGAAGTATCTGATGTGACATGAATAATTTTGCAGGTGCACATGTTAGGGCTCAACCTCTATCATGGAAAACACGTCTTATCATACTGATAGGAGTAGCCCGTGGACTCACTTATGTTCATTCGTCAAAAGATGAAATCATACACCGTAATGTTGAAAGCTCTAGTATATTGTTGGATCAAGTATGTTTTTAGCTATTAATAATTTACAATTTTGTTCAAAAGCTTTCTATACTTATCATCTATATGCCATTGAAAATAGGGTTATATGCAACAAATAACAACATACATCCCTTGAGTTGTTTATTATAGCGCCATACTTTAATATTTGGGAGAATTTTATATATGCCCTTCTTAAACATTAAAATATCATATTTTCCCAACTTAATTTCTTATTTACCCTTTATAAACCTTCAAAATATCATATTTGCCAAAATCTATTTTTACAATGTTTTTAATAGTTTATGACCAGTTTTTATATCTTAGAATTATTATAATAATAAAAAAAATTAACCATATTATCCCTACGTCTATAATAATGGAACGTATACTTCTAAATTGTTGGAATGTCGCTCTCTTGACAAACAAACCGCTTCATCTTCAGCCCTCTCCATGGAATATATGCATTGATTGCTTAACTTTTGTTGTTGTTGAATATTGTCATGTTGTAAATGGATGATATTTTAGATATTACCATTGATATTTTGATGTTTAAGAAGGGCATATATATATATATATATATATATATATATATATATAATATATATATATATATATATATATATATATATATATACTAGTAGGTTACCCGCGCGATGCAGCGGCGTAGATTTGTTCCCTTCCTGGCGATTAGTTTCCATCCAAATTTTTTTTTGTTTTTATGGTCGTCAAATTGTTTTCTTTTGATGTATAATTTCCTTTCGGTAGACATTGTTATTTATGTTAAAAATAAAATGATTTTATTATTTTGTTTTAAAAGTACATGCTTTTTAGTTAAAAAAAATATGTTATTGTTTATGTTTAAAACAAACATATATTGTAAAATTACAATAGACTTTCTTTCGCTATAATAGATTTTCTTTCGCTAGGCATTAAATAATTAATTTGAATGATAAATATCTTATAATATTACTAAACATAGTCAAATTTGAAACAAATGTAATGAAAAGCAAACCACTAACATATAGAGAACGTCAAAATTCTACGGGATAAAAATTATTCGTATCATCTTTGTTAAAATTGTAATAAACAATTGTTTCTCCATCAAAGCTATCAGTCAACTGATCACTAATTTCAACGATATTACTATTTTTATTTGAAAATATTCCCTAAAATAATATAATCTGAAGATATTTGAAATATAATTTGTATAAAAAATAAGTATGCAACTATTTGGTTTTTTTTAAATACAAATAATAATTACATATGCATCACAAACGCTTTTAAATAAATATAACATATGTATCGCAATTTAAAAATAAATAAATAAATAAAATATTGTATAAACATTAACATTTAACTGCATATTGCAAAATACATAAACAAATTAATAAATGCTCAAGTAACAACCACATTACCACAATGCCGTTACCATCATTTTTATCTTTCTTTTTCTTTTTATTTTTATTTTTTTTGTAAGAACCATTTTCCAATATCATATTTACATTACTCTATTTTTCTAGATTTAATCGTGACTTTTTAGAATTCTAATATATTATTAATTATTTAATTTTAATTTTTTGAGCTCATTTTTATCATTTACTTCCTCTTGCTAAATAGACAATATGAATTTAAAAAGGTGTTTAAGTTTCTATTTTTCATTAAATGCATCATATGGATTTAAAAAATAATATAAGTGAAATAAAATTAGTGACGACTATAAAAATTTATTTGTTATAGAGATACGATTCAAATATTAAAAAATAAAAACGTATATTTATATTTGATAAGTAACTCTTATTTTGTTTTACAGATATTATTAATTATTGAAGTTAAGAAAAATATACATCAATATTAATATTATTTGAAACTACTTTTAAGTTATTTAATAAGGTTTGTATCTTTATGTTTGTTTGAAATATATTAAAAATATGCTAACATCCATCAATGTTAAGAAAATATTCGATTGTCATAATTTTAATTTGACATATAATCAATTTAAAATTTTTGTTTGACAACATCTTATGACCAACGTAGTCAAATATTAAAATGTTTAAAAGATCACGTATACGTCTTTATTTGGTTAATATATTTTAAGTTATTTATATTTCTCATTCTTTTATATAATATTTTTTTGGAATTTTTTGGAAAGTGATTTGAAATGACAACCAATAATACAAAACTTGTATTATAGATCACTAAAATTTTAATTGTATAAAACCAACTTTTATTTTGATTGTCATTTTAAATCATTTTCCTTATTTTGTAATATCGTCCTTCACGATAGCGTTCAATAATAAAGTTTGTCAGTTCTAAACAAAAATGAAATATTTTTATTTTATATTTGGAATAAAAAATTTATATAATTATAACTTTAAAACAGAAAAAAATATATACTGAGTTTATAATTAGTTTATTTTCACATAATATAATTTGTAGTTACTCCACTTACTCGTTATAGTTTGTAATTACCTTACAGATCACTCAAAATTTTAGTAAAAAATGATTAATTTAAGATTTTGTATTACTTATTCACTTAATATAAACTATAATTAATATCAATAAATAACTTAATTTTTATATTAAATAAGTATTAATAATTAATAATTATGTCTGATTATAAATAGTGTGGTTCACTTATTTTTTACTTTTGTGTATAAGTTACTCGGTGTTGGTGATAAACAAAAGTCAAAAACTTTATAGGTTACAAATGACTTTTGAAAGGGTTGTGCTATAAGTACCCCTTAACTGATTTTACCCCCTAACATCAATCTAATCAACCTTTTACATTTGATTTGACATCATTTTTTTTTCTTTTTTTTTGTTTTTTTTCCTTTTTGTTTTTTTGTTGTTTTTTCTTTTATTATTATTATTAATAATATTAATAATAATAATATTATTATTATTATTATTATTATTATTATTATAAATTTCGATAACCATATAAAATTCGGACAACATTATAAATTCGAACGACATTATAAAATTTCAACGACTATATAAAATGGAACAAAAGTAAAGTTTGTTTCCAATCCGCATAACGCACCATACAAATGTAATAACGAACCAATTTATGTCGTCCAAATTTATAATGTCGTACGAATTTTAAAATTTCATCTGAATTTATAATGTCATCGGATTTTAAAAACCGATTTATAAAATATAAATTAAAAAGAATTAAAAACCGATTTTATATATTCGTTCGAATTTATAATGTCATCCGATATATAAAATGTTGTTCGAAATTTATAATAATAGTAATATATAATAAAAAATAATTAAAAACCGATTTTATATAGCCGTTCAAATTTTATAACGTCGTACGAATTATAAAATTTTGTTCGAAATTTATAATAATAATAATAATAATAATTAAAAACAACAAAAAAACAAAATAGGAAAAAAACAAAACAAAAAACAACAAAAGACAAAAAATCAAATCAGGGGATGAAATTCGAAAATGGAGGGGTACTTATAGAAAACCCCTTTTGAAATAGTACTTTGGAAACAGTTTCTGCAAGCGCCGTTCATGTATAATTTAAGCATCACATCATTTCTTTTTATGACAATACATCATTTGTTTTCTTTGTTTTTTAAATGTATAAAAGATTTATAAAAGAAATTTAAGTATACATGTATGTCAGGTTCATTTATGTTCACCATTATATTCTTTGATTCTTGTTTCGAATTTACAGAGTTTCAGATCTTCCACTTCTTCAAACCATCAAAAAGTATAGTAACAAAAATTTAAAAAAGAACAAATAAAAAATAATATCGAAATAAATCATGTATACATTTCATCTGCTATTATTTATCTTCAAAATCACAAACAAATATCAACTCACACAACATTTACAAATCGAAAAACTAATAAACATAACACAAACTAAATAGCTGATTTCAAGTCTCAATACGTATATCCTACATAAAACCCCATAAGAAAAAAAGCAACAAAATAATTATTTTTTCTTATAGACACAAAATAGGCATCAAAATTGTCAGATATCTCACTTCCCTGCATTCAATATTTGGAAAACAAAAAAATATCACAAGATCATGGAGAAGTCGGTAGTGATTGGCGTTAGGTGGTCTTAGATCCATGTCTTCAATGACTTTCTCCCAAAGATATTATTAAAATATTATACATCGGCATATTAGAATAGTTATATATATAGAAGAAATGAAGCAATCAAACTTTCCGTTTTACTGAATAACAAAAAGATGTTTGAGAAACTTTTGAGACTTGCAAAACAAAAAGATAGATAAGACACTAACTACTCTAGGTCTCTAGCAAAACCTATCTCTTACTAAACAACACCAAAGATTTCAAAACCCTTTTTCATCACACAATAGCAAAACCTATATCTTCCTACTACTCGCATTTTTGTTCTTCTCTTCTTTTTCCTTTTATTTTCTCGTAATAGAAGGTGGAGGAGGGTTGACATGAATGTGAAACAGTGGTGGTTTCCGGTTTCAAGCCTACAAAACATATAAAATATGATCAATAACCTAAAAACAATGGAAATAAAAGAAATAAAAAACCAATATCTAGATTCTACAAAAGGCACTGAAGATCCACAGGTTTTTATTCATATCTTGGAGAGAGAGAGAGAGAGAGAGAGAGAGAGAGAGAGAGAGAGAGAGAGAGAGAGAGAGAGAGAGAGAGAGAGAGAGAGTGTGTGTGTTATTTGTAGTAGGTGTCATGGTGGTAATTTTTAGGAGAGAATGCATACGTAGAGTCGGTGGTTACGGTCGTTATTATTGATGGTGTCTAATGGTTGTGGTGATATCTCGAGATGGCTGAAGGTGTTGAGGTTAGAGGTGGCTGACGGTGATGACGACGGAGTTGGCTAATGGTGGAGGTGGTTGCTGGTGGTGATGGTGGAGCTGGTTTTGGGTGGAGACGGTGGAGGTGACTGCAACTTTGGGAGACTTTAAATTTTTTAAAGAGAATGCATAATTTTGAATGGGGGTGGATTAGGAACGTAAGAGTTTAAACAGAAGAGTTTCTATCAAGGTAGTAGAGTGCCCAGTGTGTAGGTTGTGTCCTTTATATATTAAAACATTTTTATGTTGATTGGTTGGTTTTTAGTTTCATGGATCACCAAAATAATAATCTAGACCATTGAAG